CTATTGCAGGTAGTATATAAGTCCGAACGAGCCGGATCGGACCAGCGAAGGTTTTATCTGCAAGGGTATTATTAATTGGCTTTTTCGCAACAATATATAAAATTAGGGACACCCACGCAGTTTTGCAAGTTCACTTTATTTACATTTTACTTTTTAGTTGCGGTCCCATTTTCGGAGCTGGAGCGGATCTCCTTATTTCCAGCAACTGTAATACCAACATGGACTCCTATTCGAATCTTCCGCATTCCTACGACGGAGCCAACGCTGCCCACTTGACACTCTTTGGAGACTACAACTTCACCATCACCGACTATGAGGTTTACACCCTAGCCTCGCCTGGTGGAAGTAGCACCAGTGGAACAAGTCACACCAGCAGTCACAACCAGAACTTATCAGCAAATGGCCAAGCTCCTGGGGTGCCCACAAAGGCGAAATACGATAGATACTAACATTTGGAAGACAACTTGTAGTTGCATCAGCTATGCTGACAATAAAACTATTTCCTTGATCGATTCAAACACTCGAATATTGTAATCCCAGATCCGCAACGGCTGGTCTAATGGCATTAGGTGTCGGGTCATGACTCCGCCCAAGGTAAAAACCAGAAATCGAAAGGTAATTAATGAATTGTTATATAAAGAAAACTTTTTTTGGCGGCTGTCCTGACTTCCATTTAGATGCCAAAAATTGAACCAAATTAATTAACTGGTTTCTTACTTGTATGTAAAGCTGAAATGTTACCATAAATACAAGAGGGCTGCTTCAAGAGTTCTTAGTTTTGGCAGAATACTTCAGCATGGTACCAGGTACCAGAACTGTTAGCTTAGCTGTTTCCCATAACGTTATATTTTTAAATATCTCATGAAAGAAGTGTTTTGGAATATTTGCTCTATATTTACTTATCTTCCGTACTTTCCCCAATATAGTCAATACTCTCACTTCTTAGAGGGTTGGAAGTGTAAGATTTGTTCAAAGTATTCTATAAATGCTCAAAATAAGATTTGGTTATGCACAGGCTTTAGTTCGCATAATTTGCATAAACTCATAAAATATTTTTGAAACAATTTTGTAGCTAAGATGTTTAAGAAACAAACAACCATTTAATTCTTCTTTTTGTTAACCTTACAAATGTTTATTTATAAAGAAAATTTGTATCGGTTAAAAATGCAAAACTGCAAAAATATTTTGTTCAAGTTATTAATTATTTTCTCTTCCTGCCCGACGCAACAATTTATTTTCTTTGGCACGTTAATCAACCCATGGCTCAACTCTCGCAATGACTGCTCCACATTGATACATAGTTTTTAGATCTGTCTATATAATAGTTATAAATGTGCACTTGAACCTGGTCCACACCTCTCGAATAGTGGAACAATTGACAAAGAAAAACAAATGCGTAAATGGCAATTTCTGTTTGCTGTTTCGGTTCACTTCAGTTGGGCTTAAGCCATAACAATAATATTGTCGGCTAATGTTGAGTTATAATAAAATCTGCGGCAACACCTCCCTGAAACCCCGCGTCGGAAATGCTGAAGTTGTTCTCGACTGGTTTCCAACTACTTTTCAAAATGCTTCTGATAAATTGGTCCACGCTCTAAATTGGTTCTAATTAAAGCTTTTTTATGCTGATCGAATCGATCAACATCGATGGATTGCTGGGCCCCCACATTTTTGTCATTCGGTTCGACATGGGGATTGGACATCCAAAACCGCCAAAAAATTAAAAAACCAGAGAGAACCCTCAACAATGGCAGGCAGCAACAAACACTTGATGTTTGTGGCGTTTTTTTTTAAGTTGGCTGCACAGCGGATTGGCAGTTAAAATTTGTTAACGGCTTAAGGCCACAGCTCGAGAGCCACCTTTCGATAAGGTCTACAAATTGTTGCCGGCGCTGTTTCACTTTTCTGTGACAGGCGTCCAAAGCCCGGGGCAATTTTATATCCAGGTCCAGGCGTTAGAAGGAATGTCATTTGTAGATCTCGGTTCATTTCGATATCGCGTCAAATTTTCGGATTATTAAGTGGATTTGGCTTCGACTTTTAAACCATGGATTCGTTAACAGTAAAACCCGACCAAGAAGTTTCAATGTCTGTCGCATGAAAAGGGAAAGGCAAAAAAAATATAGCTAAGGCTTAAGTTATTTTTTTCGTTTAAACTGAACTATGTGTAAACTTGTTCTGGCCTTATGAAATCGATTCGGTTCAAATTGCATCTGGGTTTGCAGCAGAGAGACTAGGGACGGGCAGGAAGTGCCAGTGTCTCGGTGAATCATTAGCTTCCTCATGTGGAAACATCTATAAACAGTTGTAATTAGTCTTCTAAGGAAACGGAAGAAAGCCAGGGACTCATAAAAGAATACCTTTCATCACAACAATTGTGCCTATACGTCTATAATAATAAAGTTTGATATAAAAAATGTATTTTATTCTGAAGTAAAAATTCCGTACTTGTCACTATAAGCTAACGTGTATGAAATATATGTATTTGTATATTTCTTATATTTCCACATGAAAACGTATAGTTATTGTTGTATTTTTAGATTACTTTCCATCCCTGCCTTTTATGAAAATATGCGATATTTGTTTGGGCTTGGTCAGCAGCAGCCCCCACAGAACAAAGGCCTGGCTATTAGCCATGGCCATGGTTATGGTTATGACTTGGTTTACACTCAAAATTACATTGCGAAAAATTAACCATATTTATAACATTTTTTTGTAATATTTACAACAAAATATTTTAGGGGGCTTCCTCGATTCAATACTTTGAATGTATTCTAAAAATTATCAAATATTTTCGCATAACCACAATTGGAAAACTTAATGTTTTAAATGTTTTCATATTTTTTACTCGTAATATCCATATATCCAAACTCCAAAATCTTAAATTGAAAGACAATCTTTCCTATAGAATTTTTGAATAAGAAATATTAGTTTCATTGCAAAAATGTTGATACCCAAGTTAAAAAAATGGTTGTTTTCCACTTAAACTTATTTATTATGATCTTAGGATTTAAAAAAAAATTTAGTATTCATGTGCGGTTCCAGGGATCGAAGATCATACATAGCATACCAAATTCTTAAATTAATTTAATATTTCCAATAAGTTCCACCTTCAAATCAAAATGCAACCCATACCGAAAAAAAAGTCAAAATCGGTCCATGTTCATTTTACATATTATGCTTAACAACACAATTTTCTCCCAGTGTTTAAGCATACAGCTGCTGGCCAAACCCAAGTGTTACACTTTAAGTAACTTATTTGCATGAAAGAATGCGAAAAAGGAAAAGTGTCTCAATACACTGCTAGTGACCCTGAAAAGGGGACCTGGGCAAAAGTATCACCCACAGGCCGGACAATTAATGCATATCCTCCATCAGAAAATTCCCCACTTGGAACTGATTCATCCATCAAACAGGAGACACCATTAAGGGCGTTTTTCCCAGAAATAATCATGCCAAAGATAAGATCATAGCACGCTGCGGCTGCTTTACCCATTAGTTGCAGCCGTTTCCGGCTCTCGAAAGGCGGGGAGCTCTAGTTAGAGAGGTGCTAATATGCAAAGTGGACGCATTGAACCGGGGTCTATGACGTAGACAGGTCTACGCCTCCATCGACTAGTTGATATACACCGAGTCATTCATTCATAGCATCATCACCATCATCCATTTGCTCATCGCCCGATGCACTCGACATACTTCAGACGACCCCCGCCCCCATATAAAACCCCGCCCACTCCGCCCTGTAACCACTAGCCACTGTTTCAGCTGGCTAAGAGAGTGTGAGATAACCGCAGAGATATGGAAATATAGATGGAGGTGGAGAGAACCCTAGAGGGCTCCCATTATCCACTCTCTTAGCCTGGCAGTCATGTGTGTAATGACTCGACTCGCGATGCTCTTCACAACCAGTTTTGAAAGCCCACTTTAAATATACTTTTGCTTTTCATTGCCTTCGATGTGAAATAAAACACCGCAGACGTCGATTTCGGGTTGGTTACTGTGATTAATATGCGTTTCTCGGCAAACGCCACTAAAATGTATATCACCGCTGACGAGTCGTCAGATCGACGCATCCAGGCATTGACCTAGGTCACAAATGCCAGCTCAAAAGGGGTTCCTAATGAAATTAACCTAATCCCACATCGGCACTTGTGGAAGAAGATTCCCTCGGTTAAGGTATACGAAAGGTATGCTCACATTTCAATTTGACATTCCAGAACATTAAATAATTTAAATTAAAAAGTTTCAAAAAAGGTTGGGTCATTAACTACTTAGGGAAGCTTTAAAAATGTATCAAACCAGCTTTTAACTATGCCAAAAGATTAAAATACCTCTTTTCTTAGTCAAAACATTAAAAAAAAAATAATAAAAGACCTGAATGAAGTTATGCGGCATCTGTCAACAACTTTAAGTTCACTATATAAAATCCCAGAGATTAGTTTCATCAAAATACATTATTTAAATTTATGGTGTTATTCTATCAATCAGAAAAAAAACGTAAATTTTTTTTAACAAATTATAAAAGCTTTTAAGACAATATTCTAAAGACCATTCCACTTTTTCTAAGTACTTTTATTTGGTTGTATATATAAGCAGACTTAAAATTTGGTTTATATCGTGGAAACATTCTTTCTGTTTATTTCATTCATTTTTATAGATTTTTTAAACACACTTTTTAGTTTAAAAAATTAGTAAAAATACGCAACTCAAAAAAAAAATTTGTCGAGTGTTATGATGTTATGCTAGTCACTAAGAGCATTCACAGTTCGATTGAATCCGTATCGACTTTTTCCGGTTTTGTTTTATTTTTCGATTTGCCATTCAGCAGAAACCGAAAAACGAAAGATAAAAACACAACTCAGTTCACCGAGCTGCCGCTCTTAGCCAGATTCAGAGATTGAGGGAGCTGAGCGCAGTGTTTCAAGTCGGAGATTTTGAGATTTCGAGAGTTGAAACATTTTCCACCCATTAAGTTTTTTTTAAGGCGCACGGCGAGAACGGCTCAGTCTCGATTGTCAGCTTGTCGTGAATGGTTTTTTAGCACACACGCGGACCGGGACCGGAGCTAAAAGTTCGCGCTTAAGTTATTTAATAACAACAACATCGTTTGCACATATCTCAGTATCGCCGTATATACATATATAGCGACATAGCCCGCCGATCGACGTGTGTGTGTTGATATTCTGTGTTTGCCAGTGTGTGCTTGTCATTGTTGCCAGGGGTGGGAAGTGGGAAGCGGGAGCTGATCTGACTGATTTGTTATTTTTGCATAAATCAATTTCGAGAGCGCGCGCCATCAGTTTCCGTGCGCCGATCTGTTCTAGATGATGTCGCATGCGCGGCCGGATCGAGTTTGGTGCCTAAGTCTTTCGTCTGCGAATTGAGAGCGCAAGCATATTTCGCACCTCCATGGCTCTGACCAACTTCTCGCTGCCCTTCGGTGCCCTGGGTCAGCCGTGGGGAGTCACCCTGGCCCCCCTGCACCCGATCCACCAGCTGGCCAGCAACACCAATAATCTGCTCTACTCGCCGGCGGACCACCAGCAGCAGAACCCGGCTGAGGCGCCTGCCGATCCGGAGTACTTCAAGAACAATCCCTATGGGCCTCCGCAGTCGGGGGGTTACCAATATCAAAATACGGCCGGACGCCGCAAGCAGAGTAATGCCTATTTGCCGCCGACGGCGCCGAGTGCTGTTCGGAACTCCGTTTACCACATCCAGCAGGTGCAGCAGCAGCAAACGCAACAGCAACAGCATCAACAGCAGCAGCAGCAGCAGGATCAAAACGAGAACAGCGTGTCCTTCCAGAGCTCCAGCTCTAGTTCAAGGTCGAGCAGCACCACGGGCCAAAGTTCCATCCAGCTGACACAGACTCATGCGACTCACGGTCGGGGTCCGGCGGAGGGCTCGTACAGCCGATATCCCGGACAGCCAGCCCAACCTCAGCAGCAGCAGAAGCAATTTTTCAATGCCCATGGCAGTGCCAGTGCCACCTTTTCTAAGAACAGCGGCAGCTTTAGTATTACCAGCTTTGGCAGCCGGGCGCAGCAGGCTCCGCCGCAGCAGCAGCAGCCACAGCCCCAGCCGCAACAACCACCGCCTTCGCAGCAGCAGCAGCCACCACCGGCTCCTCCCCCCCAAAGGTCGAGGCAGGCCAAACCGGAGGCTCAGCCTGCCCAGACCTACGGTGTTGCCCCGCCGGAAAATTACCCGGAACGAGCACCGGGTTTCACAAGGGTTCAGGCGGGACAAGGATCCAGGACCCAGGTGCACGCCGTGCTCGACTACGACGTGGAGGAGGGCGAAGAGGATGAGGAGGAGGACGGGGAGGAGGAAGGGCAGTACTTCGAAGGACAAGAGAAAAGTGAGTCATACATATTCTTTTAATATAATTGTTATACATTATTCAGCTCGAATCACTTTAAGTTTGGTTTATTTATCAGTGGAACGTAGTATGCTGTATCTGTTGCTCAAATTATTACTTATAATGACTAAATTAAATCCATTTAAATGGTTTATTTTGCTTTTATACCAGAATTAACATCAAAATCTATTAACCTTTTATTGAATATTATCTTTTTAGAACCTAAGAACAATTTATAGATTATAGTTCTATGTTATAGTTATAGTTATTATTTTAAATTGTTAGACAGAAACCCTTTCAAGTAAGAGAGACCACTTATTGCAACTACCCCACGTAAAAGTGATTCCAATGAATTTTAATTAAATGTACTTAATTGCATGCTAAATTAAACAGCAACAAATTCAAATGAATGAGCTTCTTAGAACTTCAGTTGAAGGACCGAGAATCACTTCCTCATTCCCCCGAAAGAAATTCCCGAGACTCGCTTGTTTCACTCCTCTGAGTACATTCCATTTCGAGCGTTTCCTGATTTAAAGCGATGGCAATCTGAACAATTAACAAATAAAAACAACTGTTGGTGGTTAAATTTGTTTGCTTTTGTGTCAAGAAATATGTGTAGTGTGAATTTGGAGCATGTAGATCCATGGAGATAAGCAGAGAAGAGTCCCACGTCTGCACACGATCCAAAGACGGGCGCTGAAAGTCATGTTAATTTCTGCGGTTTCGCCTGCTACTTGTTTTTGTGTATCTTTCCAATTGAGAGCAACTTCTGCACAAGATCACAGAGCAACTATAACAAATAACCAACCTGTGGGGTAAACAAGCGCACAAGCAACGAGCGGCGACAAGGTCAAAGGTCTACAAACCGATTGGCAAGGTCACTTTCAAGACAGTAATGGCCAGTGTTTGACTTTTATAGCAACTAAAAGGCTGGCACGCATCACGATTTATGTTGTGCCGGGGTGTTTCGCTATCTGTATATGTATCTGTATATGCCTCTGCCTATCTAACGGCTCGAGTATCTCCGAATCTGTATCTGAATACGCCGCCCTTGTTGTCCTCTTGGAAAACTGTCAGCGGCGCTTCACTTTTTCGGATGTTTCACTTTCGGCCTGGCTTGTGGCGCCTCTTTGTTTCTGCCCCTCCATCTCAATCTGTAAGATGCCGAGGCATTAGCCAGCCAGCAACCTGCCAGACTTCAGTCTTCAGACCTCAAGTACTCAACTCGGTTACGGGGCTATTATGCAAGAAGTCGCGTTTAAGTCTTCCGAAATGAGGGGCAAGGGGACGTGCTCATGAACCAGCTCTCATATGAAGACGTGCGCACGCAAGACCCAAACTCGGATACTAGTTTGGGTTGCTTTTTGTCTCAGCACTCAAGTACTCAACACTGGGTTTTCACCTTTGTGCAGGCAGAAAAATACCATAAAAAGCGATCTCGAGCGAAGATCAGTGCACAGAAACAAAGAATCTATTTCACAACATGCCAAAAGAATTCCTCATTAGCTGAAAGTGACATGATTTCGATGCACTGTGACAAAAGTTATGAGTCTAGGACCAGAAACAAAAAGACTTTTTATAGAGCATGGGAGAAATCTAACAAGAAATGATTTATTTTCTATGCAAGTTAAAATTGCATGCAAATAATTTATTTGTGTGACCGTGCCCTAAATCAAATCTAAATACAAATACCAGAACCTATTGAGTTGTTCTTGCTACTCACATAATATTTTATTAATAAGCCATTGCACATGTTTTAAATAGATTTGTATGGCTAAAGATATATTATTTATCGTTCATAATATTATGAAATTAAACAGAAAACTAAATTAAGATTGTCAGCATGTTAGTATGTGACCTAATAGAATTTATTAGAAAATAACTGAATGAAAGCTTCAAAAGGGGGTTAAATTAAAAGGCATTGTTATATTCTGAATTTATAAAACGTAACATCATTGTAAATTATGTAACTTATTAGGTGTTTTCTGGGGGTATATTCTTTTGATATTTTCGATGTTTTGCTACTTAATTTTTGTTTTGTTTTAATGTAATCCTTCTGCAGCCAATATTTATATTAGACTTAAGTAAACAATAGTTTAGGAAATTTATTTTTGCACTGTATGAACCCTTTTTTCGCCTTCTCCAACTCGTTTTGCATCCTGCAGTATGACTATAAAAGGGAAAGTTTCTGTCTGCCCCAGATCCGGATCTGGGCATTACAAATGCCAGGCAGACATGAATTTATACATGCAAGTGTCACCTGCAGTGCGATTTGTATGCAGACACCGATTGCACTTCAGTTGCAATGGCAGCTCTTTTTGGGTTTAACCGGGCTGATTAATGCAGTGACAACGGCCACGGATACGACAATTCGTCCGTCCTTGCCATGAATCACCGCTGAAACAGCAGCCATTTAAAGCACTCCAATATCCATTTCCACTTAATTTTCGAAACCATTTACATTCCGTTCACAGATAAAGCGAATAACAATCAGATGCCCACCGTGACGCCCATCCAGGGACCGATCTACTTGAAGAATGGGACTGTTCCAGTGGTGCCGCTCTTCTCCTATCCGAAACTAAACAATGGATCGTTCCTACAGATTCCGGTAAGTGTGGAGCGACGGAAAGACACATTGGGCGGTACGAGGTTCTGAGCACGCGCGCACTTTAACTGGCACACTGAAAAAAAAAATACTTTTCACAATCGGATATAGGGCTCCAGAAATTAATTCGATATATAAATTTGGTTGTACAAAATTCGAACTGGAACGCATGCAGTATGAGTAATTTTTAAGGCAACTTGAACCACAATGCACAAGGCCTAAATATTGTATTTTTCGAATACATTTTGTAACACTTTAATCTACCATGGGAAGGGGTAAGAACACGATTCCATTTTTGGAACCACCTAATGTAGATAGAAAAAAGAAACTTTGTATTAACAGGTAAATTTACACTTATAAGTTTTACCATTCCATAATAAAATAGGTACAGGAAATTTTTTTCGATCCGTCTCTTTTCAAAGGCTCATGTCAAAAGGCTTATCCGGTTAAAACTGATACGAAATTGCATAAAAACTAGTATCATTTCATTGAAGATGTATTAGAACATTTTGACAAAACATTTAAACAAACTATTTTTAATAGATAGTTTTACGAGATTTTTTAAATTTTAATGTAACTAAAAAAAGGAATACCTTCTGCAGATAATCTGATTAGGCCAATGTAGTTTTGCTGCTCAATGGTATAAGTTATCTCTTGGTTCTAGTTTTCTTGTTTTCCTCCAGTGTACTCTCGATATCGATCGAGTTTGTTCATTTGCGGAAATAACTTTGACGATTTTGTGTTTCACTTCGGTTTTATTTTCCTTTTTTTTTGTTTTTTGCGCACGAAGGTCGTGCGAGTTCGTTTCATTAAGAGGTGTGATGATGTTGATGACGACGAAAGAAGAGAGAGATTGATATTGAAATCGTCGCATGGCGACTTGAGGACGCTTAATCCCAAAATCCAACCCTATACTCCACACCCCTCCTCACTAAAAACCACACTTATTTTCGAATATAAAACGAACTTTTATGTTTATGACTTACTTGAGTCATTTTCACACCCCGGCCATAATTCGTTATGGTCGCCAAGTCAATCTGAATCTCAGTACCGGAGCTCAATTGCCTTCTTCAATGCTAAATACTTATCGCTCGAACTTACTATATAACTCTGTCCAATTTAGATCTGGTGGACGGCTTTGTCGGTGGCTCTGGGACTGGATGTGCGGGGCGATGTGATCAAGGGAGTGCCATGCATCAAGCGATATCATCAGCTGTTCTGTCCGACGGCCGGCAACAGTTATCCCATGTAAGTAACTATTGTTCTCTAAGTTTGGGATATGGGAAATACCAAATGGAAATGGTATTTCCCTTGGAACCGTCGTAAAACTTTGATGCCACCACATTCCCTTGATTAACTCAAGGATGTTTGCATTTCTGTGGTTTTCTTTTACTTGACTTCTTCGCCGAAAAGCTAATCTGAATCACATTTAATCCGGTCGAATGTTCTAAAGTGACATAGTTAACTGTATTCATTAACATAGAACGTTAAATTACTTTGAATTTCATCAGTGGTTAAAGGCCTTTTATGTATTCTTCAATTCATTAGCATCAAGCCACAACGATATGAGCTCAAAAGCTTTGTTTGATAAATTGATTAGTCCATTTCTTAATCAATTCAACCCACAAATATTAATATTATTAGCTTATTTTGGAAAAATAAAATAAAAGCCCAAGACTGAAGGATACAAAATCTAAAAGAATTTAACTCGTAGAGTACAACCACAAGCATAGAAACTTTCTATCACGTCACAGTTTTAAGAAAATCGTGTCCAAATGTTGGGTGTTTTGGTACTTTCTACGGCTTATTATTATTATAACATTATATCTGAAGTGGTTCCTTGAACCTATATTTTAAAAATGATAATTAAATGAATTATGATTTTAATATACCTATGCTTCTTTAGTAAAAGGGCGTTTTACTAAGTTAATTTTTTGCCTTTCTATACTCCATACTCGTAGATTAAAAGGGGCATACTAGATTTGTCGGAAAGTGTGTAACAGGTAGAAGGAAGCGTTTCCGACCCCATAAAGTATATGCATATATTCTTGATCAGGACCACAAGCCGAGTCGATTTAGCCCTTTCCGTTTGTCCGTCTCTCTGTCTGTCCGTCAGTATAAACGATGAGATCTCGGAAACTATAGAAGCTAGAAAGTTGGGACTCGGCATGCAGATTCTTAAGGTTCTGGGACAGTGCAAGTGTACTTCAGCAGGCTGCCATGCCCACTCTAACGCCCATAACGCTAAAAACCGTCTGGCACCCACATTTTTCTATATTTTTTGAAAAATTTAATTGAGATCTTGTTTTGATTATAAATGTCCATCGACTTGCCAAAAAATTTTCATCTCTATCTACCTCGAACTTCCCTTAGCTGAGTAACGGGGATCAATCTTACTGGTGAATCACTTGGTTTGGCGTATGCATACATTAACGTTTCGTTACATCGAAATAAGATAAATTTATATGATATTAAATTTAATTTTAAGATATTAATAGAGTTATTTGTAGTCCATTATATATATTTATTATAAAATTTTTACTTTAATAAACCCTTTCTATTTTAGTGATAAGATCGAACGTTTCATAGACGACAACAAGGCCTTGATGCGACGGATGTATGGAGACTTCGAGATGAACATGGAGGGACCTAGTGGAGGAGGTGGAAGACAACAAGGTGCCAAGGTGCGAAAGCGTCGCTTTATAGACGAGCCGGATATATTTATTCCCCCTGGAGCATTTGCTGCCAACGCCGGAGAGGCCGTCGAAGCCGGAGACAGCTATTTTGGCCAACTCCGGAAAAAACGACAAGCTGCCGCCGGCGGAAATCGAAACAGGGGCGGATCTGCCGGAGGAAGTGGCAATGGGAACACCAGTGCCAACAGGCCACCGGGAAACGGAAATGCTAATTCTGGCACTGGAAGACTCGATGCCTGCGAGTCGAAGATTGAAATTGTCACACCCTATTGGGCATCGAATTCGGCTGGAAAGATCAGGGCCATTGTAAACACACAACATTTCGAGCAGGCCATTCATCAGGAGGTGTGCAGGTTAGTACTACGATTTAAAAATCTAATACATCGGGTATGTCCTATGACTTTTAAAATAAATAGTTTTAAAATAGGTACGAATTTGCACATCTAATTAAGTTCTCATTATTTTTAGCAATACCCAAACGCCGAGATGCGAGGGCGAGTGTGGATGCGAACAGAAGTACAAATGGCATCGATTGCTCGCTTACGATCCCGACAACGATTGCAAGGGCATTTTTATGGATTGGTTTCTGTTTCCTTCGTGCTGTGTCTGTAGATGTAATCCCTAGATCACCTGACTCTGAGCAATTAATAAATATACATTTGATAAATGTAATTGAGACAAGTTATTGTAGGTAGAATGCCACTGAATGTATTTTAGTTGTTGTTAAGTAGACCTTATGTAAGGCCCTAATCGGTAGCTCTAGTTAAGATCGCTTCTACATATAGTTAAGGTTTTATACGAGCCATATGTATATTTTTCAGCCTTCCGTCCTTGTTCCCCCCATCAACATGCTTTTACTCAACCTTCATTTTTTTGTTCTACGGTAATTGTAATTTTAATTGTGTAACGATTCAAGTGAATAAAGTCTATGCAAATATTAAATACGAAATTTGGGTTTCAAAACATCTAATCATGGCATTTCAATTAGCATGTTAGCAATAGCCTAGAATATCACGTGTGGCCCTGTGAAAGTTAGATAAGTCTAGATATTTACCTAGCTTATATATTTTATCACTGCTTCGATTATTTACTGGGCTATTCATGTTGATAAATGTAAGAATAAGGGCGCTTGTACGAAATCGCGGGTTCCTTTAAGTTCAAACTTCTGCCACCGCCTCTGGGGGAGAATTAGGCAGTGCATAGAAATTACATTTGCAGACATATTGCTTTAAAATAAATTACTTAAATAACTATGTTACATGTACAAACGATTTTTAAATTTGATTTTAATAGAAATATATAAATAATATTTAGAAATATAGACCATGTTTTAAAGATACCGCAGTTTATAAGGTTTGCATATATACTTTAAGTGTTTATAACAAACTCACCGCGAAATCTTGGGCTCTGTCTATACTCTCCATTTTAAGCGTATTTAACTTTACTTTGCATATTAGCTGGCTAATCTCTCTTAATATGTCTCTTTTCTCAGTCTCTTTTATACCCTTCCAGAGGGTATAATGATTTTAGTCAGACGTTTACAAAGCAGTGAAGGAGGAGTTTCCAACCACACAAAGTATATATATTCTTGATCAGGATCACTAGCCGAGTCGATCTAGCCATGTCCGAGTGTCCGTGTGAACGCTGGGATCTCAGAAACTGTAAGAGCTGCAGAGTTTGTGATTTAGATTCCTTAGCTCCGTACGCAGCGCAGATCAGATATACTGTGGCACCCACAATTTTGATGCTAGAATAAATATTTAAGCAGAAATGTGCTGGTTTCGTCGATACCTACCGATTGACGAAAAAACACTCTAGCGCCCACAAACGCCCAAACCACTAAAATCATTCTGACGCCCACACTTCTAAAGATTTTTTTAAAGTGTTAATGGTTTTTTTACGTATATTAATACCAGTATCCATATCTACACTGTTTTCTAATGAGACCATTCATTAAGAAGATATGGCCAAATAATGTAACCACCAGTAGGTGGCGCTCTGCAATCTCGGAAACAATCGCTTTGCATTGGACATCTCAATCTAGTTGAGTAAAGGGTATCTGACTATAGAGCTTTTCCTTGTTTTTGTTAGTTTTGTTCAAATATTTCTTGCCAAAACAAACTAAATTAATTCTGATCAAGAATAAATATACTTGATGGGGTCGAAATTGCTTCGTTCTACCTATTACAAAGTTTTTCCCCGAATATAGATTTCCACGAGCAACGGGTATAAAAATGTTTATTTTTGCTAGAAAAATAATAAAAGCGTTTGCAAACTTCACGAAAATGTTTGATGAATATCTGTTAAATTAAAAACTAATGGTTTATTTCACTCATTAACTAAGCAATTACCTCTAGATTTTCATTTGTTCGTGTATATGTAGTATTCGCCTTTGTTCCTCAAATAAAAAGATTTTATTTTAAAAAATATAACAAGTAGCAGGTAAGAATTGCCCCAATCTTACTCTTGTACAAAATGTATAAAATGTCGAGTAGTCATTTAAATCCCATGATTTATTAAATTGCCATATGACAGATGGGGAAACCCCATAGCAATTATTGACTTTTTGATCAATTTCAACAATAAAGTCGCTAAATTTGGAATGCTATAGTTAACTCAGCGAGTATACAAACAAAGGTAAATAGCTTGCATTAAAATAAAACTCTCAGAGAACGAAAAAAAGTAAGTTGCATCGGCCGGGAATCGAACCCGGGCCGCCCGCGTGGCAGGCGAGCATTCTACCACTGAACCACCGATGCTTGTGACTTCACGTAACCAAAATCTAGCCATGAAGTTTATATTTCAAAAAGCTCGAACCAGAGCTTCCAAAAGCTTTCAGCCTAGGGCAACACAAAGTTAATTTCATTGTGAGCCATAAGTCATGAGTTGAATTCCATTGATTATTTTTTATTCTGAGTAATTGATTTTTTTGTTTTAATAACATAACCAGAACGCAATGGGCATCCACAATTTTTGACTTTTTCATAATGCGTTTATATGCGAAAGGTCATAAATAAACCAGCAGCTGAATGGGGCGGCCTGGGTGTATGAATGGGCGTATTGCTACAAGAACGAGTACTGCTCATCTAGCGGGGGTCGTAAAAACCCTTGCCCCGAGTCTGGCCCACTTCCCATGCCCGTCACGTATTCAATCACAGCAATGGCTACACAAAACTGCGCTATATCAAAAATTTCGGTCTATCGGTCGTGCGTGGTATACAAATGGTCCATTTCACCGACACCACAGATAGCCAACATATAGTACATATCCCAGCAGCGAGGAGGAAGACCATAACAATTGAGTGCTGGGCCGGTCCCCAGTTAACGTTAACCTAAGTCGTAGCCCCGGGGACTGGGCCATTTATTGACGCCCGCAATGTCAACAAATGCAGCCATGACGACGGCAATCACAGCCACCAGTTCAAGTGGAGTTACCCTGTAATATATATATCTACAATTATCTTGAATATTTAATTCTACCTTTTCGAGATTCAAAAATAAAGTTCGGTATAAGAAAACAATAAATCAAGTGACATCCCTAAAATATAAATAACTTTTTACTTAATATTAAAAATATTTATAATTATTTTAGCTTTTACTGCGAAAACGAGTATTCAAAAAAGAGTTTCGTCCCATCTAAAATTGCTTTTCATTATGAAGTTAGGTTCAAAAGTTAAAATGTAAGGCAATGATTTGAGTGATCACAAACTAAGTTAAGTTGGAGGCTAAAAATATAACCCTGGTTATTTTGGTCACTTGATCACTCCTTCTTCCGATATTCCCTTCGGCAGCCCGAACACCCATTACCGCGATGACAAGAACAACCCAATAAAACCCGCAGCGAGCTAGCCATGAGAGTGGCCAAGCGAAACCATTTCGCCAGATGAACTGGCTGTTGGGATGCTGGGGCGCTGGGCGTATACGTATTATGATGATGACGCCCGAGAGCAGGACAATAGAAATGCGAGGCCACACAAACACGGTCGCCCACAGCCACAGCCACATGTAAACGAGTGTGTGGTGACAATGATACGGATAGGATGTTGTTGGCTGGTACTTTCGTTGGCTTTCCCGACGCTGCGCGCGCACTAAAAGTAAAATGGGAAAGAGCTCGGCTTCGGAGACAGGACAAACCAAAGGCTAATTCGAATTCCCCATAGGGGCGTAGCGCATTCGGAGGGCGGAATATCCGGGCCGTGGCAGAAAACGGCGGCGTCCTGGCGTCATCTCCAAATCTCGGCCAGTGCCGCAATTTTGGCTATAAATACAAATGTCGGCACGCAGCTTGGCTTAAACTTACATTGTTATCCTAGTTCACAACATCGCTCGGGGTCTCCGCCTTACTTGGCCGAACAAAACACATTCGCTACGTGACGTTGTTAAGACGGAATCCTCATCCTCCCGACCAGCCCAGGACAACTCCGAAACTCCATCGCAATACGCAAACTGTGAGTCACAGCGGGCTGCAGGTGCAGATGTACCAGTTGCCATCGCTGGTTCAGTGTCAGTGTCATAATCATAAATTTCGAGCATTGTGTAATCCTCTTTCGATTGGGTAAACAAACCAAGTGCTCTGCTGCAGTTTTATTATTACTGCGCAGCCAAGAAAACGCGAATTACATTTAAATTGAATTTTTTGAGGGCGCTACTTAAAGAGAGAGAGATACGAAAGAACCAATTTTCTGAATGGCGAAAACATAAGGAAGATACGAAAGAATACAAGTTCAAGGAAATTAAGTTTTGTGAACCATATTTACAAAGATCTGAAAAGGTTCTATAGTGCCAGAAAACGATTTATACTATAGTTCCTATTTCGGTTTTGCCACTGAATTAAAACAAGTTTTCATTAAATTTATAGGAAAAATATTAGGCGATTTCACCAATCTCAACTTAATTGGTTGATTAGCTTAAAAATAAAAGTACATCGCTTCCACTTTAATAACAGATTGAAAATTGATCCGATTAACCCAAGTCAGACCTAACAAATTAATAATAGATTCCCGAGAGACAAGCACTAGATCCACATCCTTTCAAGATTTATGACTGCATTTATAGAAATCCCAATGGATGTCTCTCCCCAGTCGTCAGAAATAATTTATCTGTTACTCGATTCCCAGCAATCTGTGAGTCTGTGCGATGCATTTCTGGTTTGGCTTTATTCCCATTGCGACCCCACCTTAAAAGCCATCACCATTGCAAGTCAATTACGCATCCTGCAATTGTCTTCGTCTTTTGCAAGGGGCTCACACACTGACCTCTCTCTTCGCAGACCGGTGCCACGCCTACTCGAGTCCAGACACCAGAACGCCCCCCACCAAGACGACAATGGGAGCCACAAGAAGGCAGGGGAGTGGATGTGGAAGTGGACACAGGTGGCTCTTGGTTTGGATGACGGTGCTGCTCCTGGTCGTCCCGCCGCATTTAGTCGACGGCCGGTACCTGCCGACAAGGTCGCATGGCGACGATTTGGACAAGTTGCGTGAACTCATGCTGCAGGTGAGCCATTCTACACTGGGCGAAAAAGCGGAGAGGCTGAGATCATTTTTATGACGATTTCTCTAACGCTTACATTATTTTTTATTTATTTATGCATTCAAATGTAGTTATAAAATATACAAAGATCCTTTAAATGTTTTTAAAGATGCAGTCGGCACATAGTACCATGAAATGTTATTTTTTAACTGCGAAAATAATTACACATCGTTGTACGCTGTATGTGTGGCGGCAGAGAACAAGCATAGCAGTTTCCTATTTTCACTTAATGGGAAGCTGCCGACTGCTGATATAAATGTAAATCGTTTTTTTGAACTGGTTTCTTTTGTTATATTAATGCAAAGGCAAACTAATTATTTAATATGCTAGACATTAAGACTGACTCCAGAAAGTACCTGTAATTAGTGCACTAAATTGTATTTTGCATCATATTCCAGTAATTTTATATGTTTAAGGGTTTTAGTTGTCCGTATGTATTTCTTAGTTAAATTAAAAAGCTGTCCCCTTTAATAATTGTGTAAACAATTACTCTTAAATGGTTCATGCCATAATTAATGGAGTGCTGAATTATGATGTTATCATTTCCATTTATCATCCACGCATTAATGAATCTCCAGGTAAAAATGATCCATTATTGACCATTTCTTCAGTGTATCTGAGTGAGTGTGCGATGGGTATCTTCAGCCGAGTTTTGTGCATTGGCATTTTTGGTGCGCTGTCAATATAATTAACTAAATGAAAAGAGAGCCAAAGCGTGGTATTAAGTTGCAATTATGTCGCCAATTATTGAGGTTTTATTTTCGACTTGTTTTTGTTTTCGTGCGTTTCTACCTTTTGGATTTCTTGCTTTTATATTTTGGTGTTTTGTTTTTGGTCGCTTATGGAGTGGATTCGAGTGGAATTGAATGGAATGGAGGTTACGTCATCGTCTTGGTATAAGGTTACACAGGTCCCTCGGCCACGGCCCCAATGATTCCCCCGAAGATTCCTGCTAACCGCACCACCTACCTCTTCTTTTCTGGCGCTGCGGTTTCTTGTGCGTCTGGAAACCATTTCAGAAATATTTTTACATATTTCGCAAGCGCTTCTTCTTTTTCCCGCAATCGATGGGGAGCCTGCTCGGCTACAATCGCCAACTTGGCCAACACTTGCATGCCGGTCACCTCATCTTTTGCACAATTTTTGATTCGCCGCCACCGCGGCAGTTGTTGTTATTTAATGTGTTTTTTTTCGGCACAGTTTCCTGTTCTTTTTCGCAACCAAGACACAAAAATGCGGCTCGACTAGGAGGGTAGGAATAAGGGGTCCAGGGGTCCGGGGGTCACCAGGGGATTCGGCGAGGAAGCCCCACTTAACTGCCTGTGGATGTGCAGAAATAATCCACTGCAGCTGCACGTCTGCGAAAACTTCAGCCTACAAAATGCTCAACTGCAACTGTTTGTCTACCATCGAGTTGAGTATCTGTAGCAAACAGTTTAAGCACTGGCACAAAATTATGAAGAGTATGGAATATATAGTTTAGTGTGGTATTGGGGAGGGAATGTGAAGTCGTGTAATGATCTTAAATTAAAATGTGTGTATACTTTGAAAATATATTTTAAAAATATCTTAAAAACATGATTTTAGAAAATTGGTAAAAATACAAAAAAAACAAATTTTAGGAGTCACAAATGACCCCAAAATGGGTTATTAACGAAGAGATTTCGATATACCAAGCCATAAATTCATCACTCACTCGTTATTTGACAGGCCATTATAGAGTAAATTCAATATTTCAGCAAAGATATTTTAAGAATTTCCGGACTAGGTTTCTAGGTTGAATTTTTCCCTGAATGTACGGGGCTCTCAACCCCTCTGCAGACTCTTTTCTGAGTCATGGTCCCTGCAAATCGATAAGTCGCTGACGAGCGGCGCAGACAAACACCAAAGACGAAGAGCAGACCATGTTTGGACAAAAAGCGAGCAAAAAATAAAGCAAAAACTTAAACTGAGCAAAAGAAAAGGGAAATCAAATGTCAAATAGCAAATAATGACGGTGACGTGGTCGCATTGCCGCTGATGAAGGTTGACTTGACTACGTCACTCTGAAGACAGGCGACAGTCGGGGGGAAAACAAGCAGAATGCGAAATGAAAACACTTGACACACAATAATGCATTGAACCTGAGAAGCTGGGAGCAACAGAGGCATTAGAGACATGAGACAACATAACTTCACCTTTAGCTTATTGCCTTCCACAGGATGGATGTCAACAGGACGACACGACATCCACTTCCCCTCGAACCTCCTTTGCTTTTAGCCCAAGATGACAATGAAGTTGGAAGGAATTCCCAGAAGCAATTTGTGTTATAGAATGTGGAAAATGACAATTTCATAATGCTCTTGACTTATTAGAGATATATTGGATTATAATTGTGTCACTTCAGGGGTTGCGTGGTGAATATTACAATTGTTTCAGGGGTTTAAAACTAATTTAGGGATGAACTTGGGCTTTTGATTCAATGTTAATTTAATAAGGCGATGGGGATGGGTCTAAAACGTAATCCATTAAGCAGACAATTTGATGCGGTCAGAATAGTGCTCAACTGGGTATGAAAGGGCGACTTGAATAAAGTAATTTTTATAAGCTTCTCGTACCAGTTAGAAATGGAAGCTATATGTGCAGTACTGAGATGGAAGTCAGGTATCCAGGGACCTGATTAAGTTGGTATACATCAAAAGAAGGGAGAAAGAAGGGCAAAGGATTTTAAATTTCATTAACATATAAATAATATGTGGAGTACTAAAACAGAAGTCAGTTACCCAGGGGACCTAATTAAGTTGGTGTACATCAAAGAAAAGAAAAAAAGAGCCAGGTATTTTAAATTAAATTAATATAAAAAAGCAACACTAATATTGTGTTCTGTAGATTTTTTTAAACTAGAAGTTTAAAAATTGTTCTATTGTTACGAACAGCAACAAAAACAATTATTTAAGACTTTTCCTCAGAAAGACTAATTTTTCATTCGAAATTTTTATTCTTAATATAATTAATATAATATTAATATATAATATAATTAAGTTTTCATAATATTTTACACGCATTTTTGTCGAATCTTTCTATGTGAAAGTTCATCCATCTCAACATTATGTCCGATTGATGCCTATTGCTTTCAACATTCTTTTACCACTTGCCACAAATGTCTTAGCCCATAAGTCCCACCTCTCATTAAGTGGCTCATTCCACTAAGCAGAAATGGCCGAACCCAAAACAACCTCTTCAGCACCCAGAGATTTCCCCTCGTATAAAACTTAGCCCAAACGCAGCTGTTTATTTATAAAGTATCTGCCAACTCCCTTTCCAATCGCCTAACGAAATCCTGGTCAAAGGTGGGAAAGAGATCGATATAAGTAAATAGACAGGGATAGCTGAGAAGGGGAGAGGGAAGCCAAACAAAATCACATAACTTTTCACTTAACGACAACTCTCAAATTAAACTGTCCAAAGAGGCCTTAATGAAACGAAGGGAGATGAAACCCAGCTGACACCACCCCCCAACTCCTGGAAAATTCACCCTCCCCGGAGTCAGCCAGATGCAATGCGATAACAATCCCAGAGTCATCATCACTTCCCTGAAGACCTCTGGACCATTAATGGCATTTAAGTCAAGAAAAGCGAAAGGAGGGAAATATTGCAAGCTGGTCAAAAATAGAAAACAATTTTGGTTTTTTTCAAAATTAGCAATAAAATAATTACTCGGCGCGAAATTGTTTTAGGTTTTTCGCCTCATTTGCTGTTGTTTGTGTTTGTTCACACATCATCACCAGACTTGGCCGAAAAAGAAGACAAAAGACGGGCTCCAGAGAGGCAAAAGCGGCAGGGATTACAGAGGGATAGCCAGAAAAGAGGTTGGCGGCTGATAATTACACGACAATACCCCCCATTAACACATTTTCAGCTCATCAGAGCTCAGAGCAGCGGAGATGAGGAGCCACAAGTTGGTAGCTGAGTTAAGACGGCTCAAGACAGGTTAACCCATTTTGGTTGGCAGTGAAGACGGCTCGATAAATTCTTCGAATTCATGAAAAATCTCAGTTGTCTTAAACTAGCAACAAATAGATATTTTTGTAATACTTTAACCTAATGACAGCTACCAAAGATGCATTTATGATAGATCTTAACTTTATAACACTCATAAATCATTAGTAATTACAAAACTCTTGTACGCGTTATTTAATTGCAGTGGTTGATGATTTCGACGTTCCAATCACAAAAATGTATTTAATACATATTAAAGAACGTTTTCTGTTTAAATAATCATTAATAAAACATAATTCTTTTCCGGGACATTTTTTTTAAATTCAGTTTTACAAAAATTAAAGCAACCTGGTTTGCAATGGGTTAAGCCGTGCAAAAAACAGAAGCAGGCAGCCTCATCGTTACAGATAAAGTTCATTCGATTTAATGATGCGCCAAAAACAAAAAATTAAATTAACAAAAAAAAACTATAAGTCTGTGACGAACTTCCCACGTTGGATAAATAAGATTTCAACAGATTTTTGAAATAACTCACTCCATCATCACAAGGCGGCTTGGCGGGGGGCCGAGTCGTGTTAACAACAGCAACTATACGATAATTATAACAACCATAACAACAGCTCGGAGTTTAAATCTTTCTCTGCCCGTCTTGCGTTTTGTGTTTGCAGATTTTGGAGTTGAGCAATGAGGACCCACAACAGCAGCAGCAGCAGCAGCAGCAACACCCACAGCTGCGTCTGCACAATGAGGCCACCAGCAGCAACAGCAACAGCAACAGCAACATCAACAATCCACGCGTGTCCAACGGCAACTCTAATGCCGCCTGGCTGCAGAAACTGAGTGCCATGGGTGCCCTGGACGAGTTGGGCGGAGATGGACCCCGATTCGGACCCAACTATGGACGATACTAAGCCATCTGAACCGAAAACACCTGACGACAACAGCCACTACGACAAGGGAAACGGAAACTGGGAGTTGGGGAAAATCATGTTGCGAACGAAAATATTTTGGGACCGAAAAAGGGGCAGTAGTGTCGGAAATGTTCACAGGATTAAAATCCAATTGAGATGGGCGCAAAGTGCGTGAAAATGGACAAATAAATGGAGCAAAGGATTCTCGTGAAAATCACTTTGAAGTACTTTGAATAAGCTTGTGCCATTTTGGAATGTATTGAAGGACACTCTGCGAAATCACTTTCAAAGGCTTGAGACCTTTTACGAAATGGAAGTTAAATGATCTTGTTGATTCCAAATATAATCACGATTTTGTTTATTTGCTTACCTCTCCATTTTAATGAATTAATTCAATTTCTGATCGTTCCAATTTGAAATAATTACTATAAATTTGAATAACTTAATTAACAGCAAATCTTTCTTAAACAAATATATTTAATTAGATTCCGAATGCGGTTTGCCTAATATGAACTGTATTTCTGGTCACAAAATTAACATTTTATTGAAACATGCTTTATAACATCAAGCTATTGTCTAAAATATTATCTAAATGTAATGCTTTAATTTTTTCTTAAGAACATAAATATTAACAATTTTCTAGTAACTTCCAAGTGTCAGCATGGTTTTCCTTTTGCCCCAAAATGAACTGCACTTCATGTTTTTAAAAGCCGAAAGAAAAAACTGAAGACAAATTCAGAATTAAACGGAAACTGGAATACTTGAAAGGACGAACACAGTTCCTATGCTAGAACAATAATTTTTTAACTCCTTTGGGTAATCCCGAAGCGAAAAATGTACCTATATGTATGTACCTATGTGTTGTAGAGCAACCCCGTCCCTCTGAAACAAAAAAACTCTGAAAAAGTACCCCTTTAATGGTCTAGACTAAGTGCGGATTTTCAACTTCTTTTTGCGCGGCCAAACGAGAGATAAAAATTAAAAGTACCATGAAATTGTAAATATTTTACCCCTCAAAACCTTCCACTCCCGCCCCATGAACAATAATAACTGGAGTTTTAATGGGCCCCCAAGGCTGTCCGGGGCATATGAAGATATATAGTAAATGTATTGTGTATTTATAAATTATACTACTCCCAACTAACCTCCACTAGCTGCGATGGCCTCCGCTGGAAGATGGGCCCAAGCTTAATGCGATTTCGGTTGGCACTTTATGGCCACCGACTTGTCGAGGGAGATATATACTTATACACACTATTTAATTCGTACCTATATATAAATGTACATTTAATTGTTGTTAACTTACGTTATCGTTATTACTTATGATTCGCCGCAGAAGCAACAATAAAAGAAATCATTTTCAATGCAAGATCCCTCTCTTAACTAGATCTCTGGGCGGCGATACAGTCAAGCCTGTTATGTAACGTATGCAGAGTGTAACGCAACTTTACAACCGTCTCAGATTCATCTTCATCTTTTGGCTCAAATACTCTTACATTTCACATCCATCTGCTTGAGGGCGCCGTCAGCCGAAAGATTCCCATCTATCTCAATTTACTTTCTCGTACTTCAAGTGCAACTCTCGACAAATTAAACGCCGAAAAGTGGCACCCACCAGAAAGAAACATCACATCGCATATTCCCAAAAACCCTATCCAATACAATCCAATACGCAATTCCGAACCCATTACCAATGTCAGTTCGAACCTGTTAAGTACTTTTTACCCGCCAAGTGCCGTTTCTCGTTTTGTAAACGAAATTTTAATTGTTTTCCTCGCTTGTTTTTGTTTTTTATGTAAATATAATATCATTTAAATGGTTCCGTCTGCCTTTGTTTTTGCCTGTTACATAAAGTCACAGGAGATACAATATAATAATTAGTATCTGTGCATGCCGAGGTGTAGATGGCAGCGAGTTGGTAGCTGGATTTTAAATGGTAGTAGTGGGGGGCATGTTTTGGGGAACTGTGTTACTCGGTTGAGGCCACGGAGAAAGCAGAAAGATGAATGGGTGAATGCGACGCTGATTATATGGCTCAGAATCGCTGTGGCATGGCGAATTCATTAAGATCTGGCAATGTGCCATGCATAATTCGCATAATAGCCAGCAGAATGTATCTCCTAGATGGGAGGTCTTCCCGGAAGGTCTACGCGGGATTTCCGTTGGCTGAATAATGTTAATGATACTGGCGAAAATGCGCGGGCTGCATTTGAATTTAAATACAAAATTCACTGTTTAATTTATCGCACAGCTTGAACATTTATAAATTATTACAATTAAAGTACTTATAAATTATATAGCCCTTATAATAAACAAAAGGGATCCAATTATATTCAAAGGTTTTTTATAGTGTTTACTGCTTGCGTTCTTTAATTATCCATTGATACTTTAACGAGTCACTAATTTAGTTATCAAGCAGAGAGGCTTACTTTAACTTTATGATATTTGGCTGTTTTCATTTAAAAATGAAAAAAGACTAATTTTCTTAAATCTCAGGCTGTGATAGGAAACAACTTTAAAGATTATATTAACTGTTTGCAATTATTTTACAATTCAATCATTGCCTTGTGCCTACCGGTTCAGAAACAATAAAAAACACATCTTTTTTGTCTCAGACTATCATTAAATTCTCCTTTCATGCTTTAAAAGACTTTATGCAATATCCATAAAATGGATATAGTTGTCATTAGTTGATGTAATGGTCCGTCCTATTAACACATTTTAGTATTTCCCCAACATCTCATCAATTCTCTCGGAATCCAAATTTCTTTGCTTCTTTCTTTCTTCCTTTAGATGAAAACAATGGGTCAAGGGTTTCCCCAGGAAAGTATCTCGCAGATATTTGCATGGGGAAATCACGTGAAATTGCTCTAGGACGCGCAGTAACCACAGATGAACCTGCACCTGTTCCACCTTCGTGAATTCAGCATAATTTACCGCGACCAACGAATGATGATGATGACGATGTTTTGAATGTGAAAGATGAGCGTGGAAAATTAAGGAAATGCAATCTGTGCAGAGGGGAGCAAGTGCAGTCGCCGAAGATGAACAACAAAATCAACACAACCTGCCATTTGGCTAACGGCATTATAAATGATGCCATCGAGGAAAAGTGACAGTCTCTGCCGACTCTCCAGTTGAATCTCTCAACTGTTGCAGGTTGCAGTTGCAGTTGCAATATTGCTGCTGCCGCCGGGCACGCTGCTGCTGCTATATGGTGTCGTCCTCCGTTTGGCGCCACTGGGCACTGATTATGCCATTTCATCAAATCCGGCAGCTATTGAGTGGAGTGCAGGAGTGGCCACAAAATGCGACCAAGGATCGCTCACAATCGATGCAAAATGCTGATTGCCATTTATAGATTATGTGCATAAATCAGAGAAAAAGCAAGACATAGCTTCGGGGGTTATGAGCCACGGAAAAGTTGCAAAACATTTTGCCAATCATAATTTTTTCCATCAGTCTTCCCTAACGCAAATTGTCATGGCCGGGGCGTAAATTATTAAAAAAACTGCCCAAAAACAACACTATAACTAGAGAAGAAAAACAAATTAAAGAAATTCAAAATATTGCAAAAACAAAAGCAAGGAGAAAAATTAAATAAAATGCTTATGCAGATGGGGCGACCCAACAAGAGCGTGAAGCTCATTATGAAGCTTCGTGGCCAAAACGCGGACAGCAATTACAAAGACAACAAAACCAGTAAGACAATAACAGTAACAATAATAATAACAACAAGCCGAGCCAAGCCAAGTCAAGACAAGTCAACCCAAAAGACAGAAAGAAGCTGGCTAACAAAAGGCCGAAAGAGCATGAAGAAATGAAATAAAACCAACACCAGATTCAGTCCCACTCCAGAGCACAAAAGCCATCCCCCATCCTATCCCAAATGAGCCCATTCCCCGAATCGCCTGCTAAATGAGAGTGAATCCACATCCATTGAAACTGAAAGTGAATCGTGCCACACGATCCGATCCGATACGATCCGATTCAGAGTCTAGAGTTGGTTACGAGTCCACTGCGATTGGATCCTCCAAATGACCAAAATAACAATTTATACACATAAACCACATATATAATAACGCAATAAGAAAAACAGAAATGAGAGAGCCGGAAAGGCCTTGTTTTTGGGTTTTTACCTCGAAAGTGGAATACTCTAGTTGTTAGAATATAAAAAGTCGCCGTTCTATCTGATAAACACTAATTCAAGTTAATTAAATAATTTTCATTAACAAAAATATTTGACATTTGCTGCTAGAAAAAGGAGATAGATAAGTAAACTAAAAAAAACATATCCTTTCAAGGTTTAGTCCCTTCTCAGTATTATTAAATTTTGTATCTCCTTTAATACAAATACCGTCGAACTATCTACTAACTTACTGAGTAACAATAAAATGTATATACCAAACAATTACTCAATTCATCTTATCATCAAATATTCATCATCTCTGTAAGTTAAGAACACTTAGAAAGAAATATTATTTTATTACCAGTAAGTACTTTTCTGATTTTTATAAATTACAAAACATGTAGATAATTATTGGCTTTATCATTTTAATATGCTTAATATTGTTTCATATCATGTAATTTTGTCCAATCAGATACTTGAACAGTGGTAGAGCTAAGATGTCTCTTAATATGAGCAAAGTGCGTACCATAATACCTTTTATTTCCTTTCCTTGAAAATAATGGACTTTAAAAATATAAGTTACGTTTATAACAGCTGATGGGAAATTTCAAAAATAACTACCGTGTAAATATATTTGATGGCCTTGCTGAAATTTTAGCTCATGCCTTCGGCTTAATTGTGAGTACAATGTACCTTTCAAGTTCCTTATTTTCCCCTTGAAAAGTAATCCTAGTTGCCCCGAAAAAATGCCTGAACACACACATATAAAACCACGAAAAAGAAGTAGTCAACCGAAGGAGGAAAACCCAAAAGCCAAGAAACGGTCAGCAGAAGTTGCAGTCGCAGCCGCAGTCTGCGTCGCAGCTAGGAGCTGCAGCCTCAGTTTCCCCACCAGATCATGACTGGCCAACTGTGGTCGGGGCTGTGGACTTGGCTCAAACATTTCAGTTTCTTCATGGCTATATGGCGCTGCCGCTGCCGCTCTTTGCCAACTGCTCAGCCAACTGCTCGGTCGACCGAGGCAGCAGCTGAGCAGCTGAGGCAGCACCAGCGGTCTTGGTCGTCGTCTTGAATTTTACTTAATTTTTATTTCACGCGCTGCGCCGCTATAAAAGAAACTGCAACAATCGTTGTGGCATGCAGTAAGAGGTTCCGCGTCGAAGCAGCACCACAACCACACTACCAGTAGCACCGATCCACCTGGAGCAGTGACAAAACCCGAAACGGATATAGCCGAAAACAAACCACCCGAAAATGCAGTCCAGTTGTGTGGTATGATCATGTGACCAACCGAGCTCCCAAGTTTCCGTGATAATTGTGTTCTCCTCCTCCCCTCCGATCTCGCCCGCAGTTAGTGGTCGTCCTAGCCTTGGCTGCCCTGGTGGCCGCTCGTCCCGAGCCGCCGCGTGACTCGTACAGTGCGCCCCCCTCCAGCAGCTACCAGCCGAGTGGACCCAGTGGGGGCTACGGCGCCCCTGCGCCCCAGTACGGTCCCCCCCAGCAGCCGCCGGTGGTTCACAAGCACGTCTATGTCCATGTTCCGCCACCAGAGCCGGAGTACCAGGCACCCAGGTGAGTCCAAGGATAGAACCTTTTGAGAGTAACGAATATGCCGTTATCTATTAAAGTTAAGTCATTAGTCGTTATAATTTATAGACCGTCCACTAGTCTCCAATTCTTCCACTCCTAGTTATTTTTCTAAAATCGTGTAAATCGAAATAATAAACTTTAGTCGATGGTTTTTTAAAGACAATGGTTAGGAAAGAATAATATTAATAATAACTTTAACTATAGGAATGACTTAAAGGTTTTCTAAAATTTCCGTACATTAAATAGTTTAGGAACTAAAAGTTGTCGATGAATAACATATATCTAAGGTATTTGTAGGTTTAGGTTAGGAAGTGATCGAGAATATATTCATATATATGAAGAATTAATCTTCTTCAAATTACTTATTCTTCTATCCCACACTAAAATCAGTTCAAATTATTCACACCGCTTATCCCTCTCCCTTTTCTTCATCTCGCGTGATAGGGAACGGTTACAAATGATCTCGCTTTATTTGTCTTGTTCCACTTAAGATTGGCAAAAAATGAGGGAAAAACACATTGTTGTTTTATGAGTAAATAATCCACGCCATTTATGCAGATTCTCTCACAATTCATCGCCGTAAACCAACTAGTGCCGCCAACTCCCAAAGATAATAACTAGGCAAATGTTGCAAGACCAGACGCCAATCATCTAATCCGGCTCAGGGCCCTTTTCCACAGCTGTTGCCTCATTTCCAGGGTATTTAGAGAGTCGCTTAAAAGGAGGAAAATTATTTAATACCCGAGAAAACGAAAGCCATCCAACTTTTCTCTCTTTTCTCTGATTTAATGTTTTCTGTCGTCTTCTGTCTGTTTTCAATTGGAGTTGGAAGCAATGTTAATTACCTCGAGAGGGGAATGATATGGCTTTTCAGACCGCCAAACCGTGACTTAAAGTTACCTAAGCTCTCCGGAGTACTTGTATATATCTGAGTCGTGTTTCCAAGCTAATTTTCAGACTTGGAGGGACAGGAACGCGATTACCATAGGGAGCTTTATGTAAACCCTCATCTTGGTACGGTTGACGTGACACCCGCTGTTATCATCACAATGGTCATCATCTTCATCTGATTAGTCCAACTTTCAAGCAGATGCAGATGGTTCACCATTTTTGGGAGGTCACCATTTATGGGCTTGTCATTTGCATAATCCTCAAAGAGAAACTCCTTTCTCCTTTATTCGTACAGAGATACCGAATTAGAGAAAACAAGGAAAACACTTATAGCCTGGCTTTATACATAAAGAAATGTAAAGCGGTATGGCGACCTGCTATAAAGCTATATTATGAGGATTCCACATCTTTAAACCTACGTTTAAATATTATCAGCCCACTATATTTTTATTTTTAAACTTTACCACTAGGAAACCCCTGTACGTGCCGCCTCCGCAGAAGCACTACAAGATCGTGTTCATCAAGGCACCATCCCCACCTGCCCCAACCGCACCCGTAATCCCGCAGTTCCCACAGAACGAGGAGAAGACACTGGTGTACGTGCTAGTCAAGAAGCCCGAGGAGCAGCCGGAGATCATCATCCCCACGCCGGCTCCCACCCAGCCCAGCAAGCCGGAGGTGTACTTCATCCGCTACAAGACCCAGAAGGAGGAGACTGGACCCTACCCCAACAGTGTGGCGCCTCCAGCGCCCGAATACGGAGCTCCAGCTGCACCGCCCGCACCCTCTGCACCCAGCAGCTCGTATGGGGCACCTTCCCACTAAGCGACCCAACACATCCAATCCAACCCGAATTCCGATTTGCGAGTCTCAACCCATCTCATGGCAAACTGCATATCTTATGTGTATTATTTTTTGTTCTGTTTCAAAGACTTTAACGCGTGACAAAGTTTATTAAGCAACGAAATCCCTCATCTCCCCCAGCTCATATGAATATTACCCCGATCGAGGAGTAATTCTTACCTCTGAAGTTGTTTCTACCTATTGTACGAGAAGTATGTTTTCCATCTAGGCTGTTTGTTTCAAATTGTTTGTTTAGTCTTAAGATTAGGTCTTACCGAACGATGCGTTATACACTCACACAACACACTCGATGAACTCACTGCAAATTAGCCCTAGTTAAGCGATAACCGATATATACAGTATACATGATTTTCATCTGAAATGCATTTTCAACTAGGCAATTTGTACCAATACTATATTGCACTTTTGCACTCTATTTCCTTAACTGTAAATAGGGAGTGCGAAACGACCGAAAAGCAACAGAAAATACAAATAAAAATGATACTCAAGTATGTATATGTTACAAAAAAAACATCAATGGCTAAATAAAAGTTTAACGAAATAACTGTATAAAAATGTTTTTTATTATTTATCAGTTTACATTAACTTTTTTTCCATTAGTGAAAATTGAAAATACGCAGTAAAATAGAAGTTTTTCCTTAAATTATTTGACATTATTTTTCCCTTTTTTAATTTTTGGCTGGTCAACGGGAACACTGATTCAAGCCGACAGATTGGCTTCATTGGTACTGTATATTAACGATGTTTTTTTACAGAAAGGTAAAGGTTAAGTACTTATTAGTTTTAGTTACTATTAATTATCGTCTGCCTCGCAAATGAAATTTATGTTACTGCTACAACTGTCAACCCACATGCCCCCGTAATGCATAGTTACGCAATGCTGGTCAATGTGGTTATATTTGGGTTCACCCGGCTTCCACTTCAAGAAAGGAGCTGTCTTTCCAGAGGAGACAGATATAAAAAGGCCCTTTTCGGCGAAATCGTTGATGCCCAGCCTATAAGAAGTATCCTTATTCAGTTTCGCACTGATGTCCTTAAATTCTTCTTCACTTTTAAAAGAGGCCAGATGGCCTCCCATCCCATTACAGGAGTTTAAAGCACTGGTCCAATTTTGTCCAAGGTTATGCTCGATGTAAAAGAGTCTTGAGTCGACCCTGTCGAACCTTAGGAACATGATTTTCCTGTTGATTTGCAGAAGGGTTTCCATGACGGCACTTTGTTGGCTTTCAATCGTTGTAAGAAGAGCTTGCAGTTGTTCTTCTGACTTCATTTTTACCGCGATTAGCTGGGCTTCTATCTTACCCAATTTAGCCTCGGTCTCATTTGATTTCACATTGCAGGTGCTCCACTGCTCCTGGTGCCTGGCAATGTGATCGATTAGTGGCATCATTGGAGGATCATGCAATAGGCACATGTATCGGCCATCGGTACTGACATCCTCGGATCCTGAGAGGGGCACCTACAGAACTATTGCAATTACTGCATAGAAAACAAATGTTAAAAACTTGAACATGCTTTAAGAGTTAAACCTTTGGAGACGAAAGCCTTAAATGCAATGATTCTGGCCTGCGAACAGCCTGTCATTTTTACTGATAGCTTAACAATCATTTTTAATACTTGCAATATAAGTATTACTTATACTTAGCCACAAAATTTGAGACGGAAACTTACTCGCCACCGGATATGACTAAAAAGATAATTTTTACCCTGACAGTTTTTTGTGCATTTTATGCAATTCGAAATGCATTGTGGTATTTATTTGTTTAATGTTAAGCAAGCTTGTTTAAAAGTCACTGACTTATTTGTAAGCACACAAAGTGTTCTTTGCATATTTATGATTCACTTCACCCAGTTTCAAACTGTAAAGTTTTTGGCGTTGCCACCTGATACTCAACCAATAGATGGCGCCCTCAGGCAACTGTAGTGCCTCTCAAACTGTTTATCCCCTTTCACTGTAGTTAAGCTTTGTTTGGTGTGTTTGTTTTGTTGTTTGGCGCTGGGATTACATACAACTTGATTTGGCCGTTGCGGAAACACGCTTTTCACAGAATTTCCTCAAGTTTTATGATTATGATTATAATAACGAAACACTTTAAGAGCGGATTGGATTACCGCTGTTTTCCTGCAACTACCTTAATGGCAATCAGCCTGGTCTGGGTCTCTTTAATTGAGCCGTTGCCGCTGTCCACTTGGTAAAAAATCGAAAAAGGTAAAGGTAAATCCGGAAAATCCCCATACCCTTGCACACATGCTTTTAAATACGAACACACACTCAACACCTCCTTCACGAGCCTGCCAAATGTAAGCGAACTTAAAAACACATCGTTTGCATTTGGCCCCCTCTCACGCCCACCCCGCCCCTGGAAACCCCCCTCCATCAGCACCAACTCCAAGCGGCACTTAAGTGACGCTCCAGCAGCTCAACTATCACCGTGTTCGTGTGTGCTTTCTTGTTCCTTTTATTCCAGGTACCCACGCAGAAAAAAGGTATATTGTATTTGTGCTGTTGGATCTTAAATAACGCAAAAAGCTATGGAGACTTATGCAATGACCCTGAATTTGTAATTTATTCATATATCATACAAATTATTGTTTCTAAAGAGCATTCGCCTCTTTAAAATAAAGTTTATTAAAAACAATGTACAAAAAGTTTCTGATGTATTGTATTTAAGTGTTAACAGATCATTAAAATAAAGATTACAGTTTAATGAAGTTACCCCAAAAGCTAAACCAAATCACCTAATTATTATAAAACCGGCTTAAATTTTACTATAATATATTTCGAAGTTTATTATAAGCATATTATTATTTTTGCCAGCAAAATATTTAAGATCAAAAATAAAATTCGTCTTCCCATGCCCACATTATTGCATACAAGAGGTATCACACCATTTTCAATGATCCCCGGCCGTGAGCACTTAGATGTCTACAATATAAACATCATTTAGGTTGTTCCTTTTGTTTTAGCCTCGCTGATTTTGTTTACCTGAGCCTCAAAGCCGTCGTTTGCCAAAAGGAAGAGATTTTCCGGAAGAGAGTGAAAGAGTGAAAGTCCGACCACCCTTGAGGTCGGGACTGGGGCATTGCCATCGGACTTTGGCTCTTTTTTCTGGCACGCCTGCGCCGCGGAGAGGCGGAAAACTCTTGGGAAATTCGAGCCCGAGCCGAGGCCAAATCGAAACCCGACTTCAGTTTCCATTGTAATGCCAACGCAGTCGGCACGCGTTTGGCTTTCTCGCCTCGCGGGTTTTTTATTTATTATTCGCTGAAGGTACAAGCCAACAGGAAAAACAACAAAGTCGCAGGGCAGAGATTCGGGAAAATCCCAGTGTGTTGGCTGAAGTATAAATCATGTGCGAGGAAATCAAGGCGATTCGGAAAGTCGAAGGAGTCGAGCCAAAGATGAAATCAACAGCGAGAAATTGCCAGTCATAAAAAAAGGGTTTGTGTTTGTTCCTGTTTCGTGTGTGTTTGCGCGAGTGTGTGTGTGCCAAAAGGGAAATCCCTTAACCCCTGACTTCAGCTAGACTCCCCTATTGTGCGTTGTGTACAATTAGAAGGCATTGCCAATCGATTTGTGTGAAAAGCCAAAGCTAAAACTCAAAAGGTGGACGACGCCAATCCTCGGATAAAAAACGGAGGCCCGAGGCAAAAAATAAAGGAAATACCCATATAAAAGAAGTTCCCTCAGTTGGCAGGTGCGCGTAGTCTGAAAAATGAAGTTGAACCGACCGAAGTTGTTGCCTGTCATTCAAAGGGAATGGCAATATAGAAGAGGCCGAAATGGAGTGGGCAGCTATGGGGGAGGGGGCGGGTCGGGGAAGTAGGGCTGGGAATCGGGGGACAATATTAATGAAAGACGTTGCAAAAATGTCACGTTTTCCCAGTCAAATTGAAATAATAATGAAGGCATTGAAGAAATGTCACGGCTCGCGACTGACAAGCAAAAGAAAAAAGTCTAATGGAATTTGCATGAATATCTCAAAAGTATAGTTGAACATAACAAGTAAAGTTGATAATTTCAGTGATATAAAACATAACAGGGCTTGATAAGAGACAAGTCGTCATATAAATATGACAGACCAAGGGAAAACTCACATTTCCAAAAAAAGTTTGAGTGACACGACTAAGAAATTCCATTAACAAAGAACACTTTGAAGGCATCAAACAAACTTCTCAGAGAAAAGAAACGAATGTAATTCAAATATACTAAGCGAATGCTATAATATTTAATAAATAGAACAAGAAAAAACCGATTTAAACTATATTACACATTAAAAATGATTCTGATTAATATATAAAAAGGTCTTAAAAACCAATAAAATAAAATATTATAATTAACATGTTAAATGTCATAAAATATAATAACAACTTACCATTAACATTTTAAAGTCGGCACTGGCTTTACTAAATTAATAATGCCTTTTTCTGCATAAATCTTATAATCTAGATAAGAAAATTTAAAATCCACAAACTTTTTATGGCTCCAACGAATAATTGCAAATGGTTAAAAGTTCAAGTTTAAAACTTTTAATAGCCAAAAAGACCTTAAATTTTGAACATAAACTTTTCAAATAGAATTAAACTGATGTGAAATACGACTGTCCCAAAAGAATGCTTGAAAGACAACGAAGCGCATAATTTCCCACCATAAAAACCCAGGCCAATTCAACATAAATTTGATTTTATGCACAAGATGCTACAAGTGAATAAAACACGAGCTTAGTGACAGTGACAGTGCGAGCGTGATAGTGATGATAGTACAGTGAAGCATATGCCCAATAAACAGATGGCCCATAACCATAAAGCGAAAGTGTTATGGCCATTACCGAAGGACCCTTCTCGCAACGCACCAAATAACTTATGCCCATCGGCCCGAACAGAAATCGCAATTTATGACAGGCCCGGCAACTATTTAAAGAACCATAAAACCCCCGAAAACAAACAAAGTTTATGGGGAGTGACGATTGCATTTTAGGATCCCTGACATAAAACAAAAGCCAGGATTTGGGCCCCTTATTAACTCCCAATTTTATTCGTTCCCCAAAAGGAAACGCAAGTGCTTCCAGCAATAAACTTCCACTGCCCACTGTGGCAACCAAAATCCAAGGAACCATGGCCACCAGTACGTCGAATATGTCCCGGAACGGCGGCTTCTGTGGTGCACTGCAGCGAGCCCCGCCGCCCATGCCCCCGACCCTCATCCGCCGCCTGAGCAGCCGGGAATGCTATGGCGTGGGTAAGGTGAAGGTCATGCTGCGGGTGGCGGAGCGGGACAGGAACTCCGGCGGAACTGAGCCGGATTTTATGGCGCTGGACAAGAAGAAGCGACAGGTCACGCTCACCGACCCGAGGAACGCCTGCCCTCCGCCGCAGGCTGCCCAGGAACGGGCGCCCATGGTGGCCGCACCCAAAATGTTCGCATTCGATAACCTCTTTACCGGGGAGGACAAACAGGTGAGTTTCGGATAAAATGTGAGCTCTTTGAAATCTCTAAAAGACATAATCTTTCCTTTAAAAATTCTCATTTGTCAGAAAGTACGTATCAGGTAGAAAGTTGCGTTTTCGACCCTCTAAAATATATACATTCTTAGTCAGGATCACTAGTCGAGTCAAACTAGCAATGTCCGCCAGTCTGTCCGTCCGTATGAACGCTTTCGCGGGAACTATAAATGCTAAAAAGTTCGCATTTGGCAAGCACATTCTTGAGTTGTCTAGCGCCCACATTATTTAATATTTCGTATAAATGTATAACGGATTTGGTTCTGATTACACTAGTTTACAAAATAATATTTTGAAACTTCCCCAAGAAGGATGGTGGTAGTTCCTGGTAGAATTGGACCCTTTGTTCTCGAAAAATAAGTCAAAAAAAGGTATTTTCTTGCCTTTACTTTAATCTCGTGTTACGCCTAACCAATTAAGGTGATAAATGATTTAGTTTACAACTAAAGTGTCACCCTAAAATTTTGCCGAATAAATGAATAGGGTACATTGAATATATTGTGAGCTACAGCTCGGCCAACTTTGAAAATGTGAAATTTTTAACAATTTAGTGACTGTAAGGCCTCTGTTGATATAAGAAAAACTCAAAAATATAAGACGAATTGAGACGTCCACCACTTTAAAGTTACCGATCCTACGAACCAAACAAGCCATATTTGGACAGAATCCATGGTAAAATTAGTTTAATTTTATTTGTCATAGCTTAGTATTGATAGGCCGGTAACAGAATTTCGCCTGAAAAATTAATTTTAGTATTGACCAACGTAAGGAGGTTCATGTAATTTCCTTTGGCAGTGTTGTGAAACTTTTTTATTTACGAAGTTTCGGAAATTGTTGTACAAATTCTCACTATTGACATAATTTTAGGTATATGTATACTTACATATTATTATTAATTAAATTTCTATATGTTTATTTACTTTAATATTTTTTACCTATTCCCGATAATTATTGATTGTCGCTTTTAACGACGTTAAAAATATAATTTCCACAACATTGCCTATGGGAACAACATAAGCCCCTTACGTTTATGAAAACTGAAACTTAAAATGTTGTAGTCTTCTTTTTCGGGATCTACCAGG